AAAAACTATATTCAATCATCGAGTAATCACCCCAAAAAAAAAGGTATGGTAAGGCTGTTTTTGTAAGCAAAGCTAATGTTCCGGTATTTTCACGAGAGGAGACAGGTCGTTTATTCATTTGGGTTTGAAATATTAAATGCCTTTAAATCAGCAACAAACAATAAAGTCTTGACATGACACGCATCTCGACGACTTAACCTAAACTCGTTACCCGAGCGCGTTATCAACCGCAGAGATAAATCAGAAGATTCCTTTACAATTTGTTCATTCTCTTCTGACCATCTTTCCGGGGACGTATCAGGAAATCCACTCTGGCAGCTAAAGTTCTCGCGAGCGAATCACGACAATAGTCCCGGGCTTGGATCGGGACATGTCGAGGGGCGGNGGGGGGGGGGGGGGGATGGGGACGCTGGTGAAGAGCAGGGACTCTAAAAGCCTGTGCTCGCTCCTTTTCACGGAACCCTGAACCCACATTGCACTGCGTCGTCCCGCGCTGCACAAGGGGTCAGATCCGACTTTATGGTGGTCAAATTTTCGCCTAGAATAATTGATCGCCTAGAATAATTGATCGCCTACGATAATCAAGGTATCGGAACTTGGCCGTTTTGAAAACGCCTTCAAACGCGGCGTGATACCTCACGCATTCCGGAGAGTTCAAATAGTTGTATCATTGCGCCTTAGAAATGCGACGGAAGATCACAATTGAAATATCCTTCATACACGCGGGCTTGTCGATTTTCGGTAATATTTTTGCAGTCATGAATGCATAGCCTAAGTGTGCTTCAGCTAGAATTGTATATAGCAAGTGGGTAATTTTTATAGGAGGATTATAAATAAACAAGTGGTTAGAAATGAAAAAAGAAAAAAAAATAATATGAACTATGAAAGACGATTATCCGAATATCGGAACTTTGCTGTTTTGAAAACGCCTTCAAACGCGGCGTGATACCTCACGCATTCCGGAGAGTTCAAATAGTTGTATCATTGCGCCTTAGAAATGCGACGGAAGATCACAATGGACCACTAGACAAGGTACGAATTTAAGGATTCTGATACATGTTTCTTAACCAGAATTTCACGTAGAACACGATTCGCGCAACAAAACTTACTGATACCAATTCCCAACGGAGATATTAACGTTTTTATTTCACATTGGTTACGCGGATTTTAAACTGCCAACTCACAAGAAACTCAAAGCTCAACGTGAGTCAAATCGCGCACTACAACGGTTTCAGCAAGCTTCTCAATCGAGCAATGTCCGTTTCCCACCATGCTTTTTTCAAACTACAAGTAATTTGCTGCAGCTGAGCCAAAGCTTCAAGATTGAGGTTGTCAGATTTTTTTATCGGTGAGACGTTCATGATAACGTTTAGCGAGCGATGTGAATAACGTAGAGCTTTGAGTTTTCATGGGCGGTTGGTTTGAATTCACGCACCAAGAATCATTAAATATCTTCGGAAGGAGTTGATTTCTGTAATTTTCGTTGTGCACATCGTGTTTAACGTGAAATTTTGGTGAAGAAGCATGTATCAGAATGCTGAAATTCGTACCTTGTCTAGTGGTCCATTGAAATATCCTTCATACACGCGGGCTTGTCGATTTTCGGTAATATTTTTGCAGTCATGAATGCATAGCCTAAGTGCGCTTCAGCTAGAATTGTATATAGCGAGTGGGTAATTTTTATAGGAGGACTATAAATAAACAAGTGGTTAGAAATGAAAAAAAAAAAAAAAAATAATATGAACTATGAAAGACGATTATCCGGATATCGGTTCTTTGCTGTTTTGAAAACGCCTTCAAATGCGACGTGATACCTCACGCATTCCGGAGAGTTCAAATAGTTGTATCATTGCGCCTTAGAAATGCGACGGAAGATTACAATTATTATTACACTTCTTCTGTAATATTATTCATCACTATTTACATAATACTATGGATCGCGTTTGACAGAAACGTACTAAGTCGCATCAAATTTAAACCGAGAAAAGGAGGTATGAAGTTTTTTTCTTCCACAAGACACAATAGTAAGAATTAGCAAAGTTTAACGAAAATGTTTTATTCAAACTTTGAATTTTCGACTAAATGAAATTAACTACCGTTAGATTCAAAACTACTCATGACTCATTTTTTTTTTTTCCAAAATACGACTTTGTGCAATTTTGCTAAACGCGGTCCAATGGTGATGTTGCATGTGTGAGGAATTTGCGATTCGACTACTGGCTTTTATGTAAAAGTTTGCGAGAAACACGATGGTGCCACTGGTTTTCTCTGAAATCAACGCCCAAGCTCAAAAAAAAGCTCTCATTTTGAGGCCAAAATGGAGGGGATATCACACGCTATCCTGAGAGTCCACCTCTACATCAAGACAAACTCTCTATGCAAAGATAGGGAGCAAATACATTGACAGGGCTGCCACTTTATTTGGGGACTATAAAACTGAAAACACGGCAGCCCTGTCAATGTATTTACTCCCTATCTTTGCATGGAGAGTTAGTCTTCATGTAGAGGTGGACTCTCAGGATAGCGTGGGATATCCCTTCCATTTTGGCCTCAACTTGAGAGCTTTTTTTGAGCTTGGGAGTTGATTTCAGAGAAAACCAGTGGCACCATCGTGTTTCTCGTGAACTTTTATATAAGAACCACCAGTTCATCGCAAATTCCTCACACATGCAACATCTCCATTCCTCTTGATGGGTTCGTTTACATTGGTCTTTCAGAACCTCACGAGAAGCATAAAACTGATGAGCCAATCAGAGAGCGGCAGAGACATGAGGATACTCTCCCTTCGTTGGTACTCTAGTCGAGATGTAGTCCAGGCAAATAAGCCATGAAAGGGGCTATAGCCTGTTAGGCCCTTAGGTCATTTTTGCCAAATTTGGTAACTTTCCGGTCCGAATTTAATGGCGCAAAGTTGAAATTCGGATTCAGCGTCAAAAATTACATAGGAATCGATGAAAACATTGCTACCCGGGATTTTTGCAAAAACCGCAAAAAAACGCGACTTTCGTTCATTTTTCGAAGTTCGGTGCCCGTCAGCGCGCTTAGTTTTGCCTTGAGCAAAAATGTGTATAGAAACTTTTTTATGGGAAATTTAACGAACTTTTTTTTAAAACGACCAAATTGTCGTTAGATCAAATTTGGACGAGTCACAGGCCATAACCCGCAAAAAACCAAATATTCGCTCATTTTTCAAAGTTTGGAGCCCGGCAGCGCGCTTGATTTTGCCCTGAGCAAAAAAGTGTATAGGAACTGTTTTATAGGAAATTTAACGAGCTTTATTTCTGAAAATAACTAATTTTATCGTCAGATCAATTTTTGGCAAGTTACAGGCCATAATCCGGAAAAAAGGCCGATTTTAGGCCATTTTTGCCAAATTTGGCAACTTTCCGATCCGAATTTAATGGCGCAAAGTTGAAATTCGGATTCAGCGTCAAAAATTACATAGGAATCGATGAAAACATTGCTACCCGGGATTTTTGCAGGCTCTTTTCCTTGTTTGCCTGGACTAATGCTCGACATGAAGAACATAAATATTTCCGCGATCTTAAAACTTAATCCATTCGGCTGAAAACCGATCGGGACGGAATGCAAGCTTTGGATAAGTGACTAATTATGAGGCTAACTAAGCCGGCGCGGCGCAAACTCTTTAGCGAGAATGTCCGAAGCGTGGCTGCCACCGCAGCCGCGACAGGGGGGAGGGGTCGTGGGGAGGGAAGAGGGAGTGAGGGAGCGGTAAGAGGTCTGGGTCGGGCCACATGTCGCGCCGTGAGCGGCTGCCAAAAGAAGAAGAGTAACACGTGGAAATGAGAGTCAGAAGCGCCGTGAAGAATAATTTCAGCTCATTTGAGCAAAAAAGAAAAAGAAAAAAAAAGAGGAGCAAAATAAACAGAAACACCAAAACAGAAAAACGGACCGAGATCCGACGAATATTAATAGAGTACAATTACCGCACCTTTGGTGCACTGGAATGAGTGTAATGTGAAATACGATTAACTTTCCACGTCGCCTGTTTCGCGTGGGGCGTATATTTTCGGGCGTTTGAAGTTTTCAAAAAAAACCAAAAACAAGTAGAGCTCTACCGTGAAAAATTTGGCATGCGGGCATTTTAGCACACTGAAAACATTACTAAAAATCGCAAAATGCATGAAAGTAATTTAGTGACTAGTTTGACCCATGTAGATTTCGGTTTCTGACGGTTTGAATTCACGAGTGAGGCAAACGCTGATTTTCCTCTCGTGAATTAAATTCTGCGATTCTTAATGTGTCTGCAGCGTGTTCTGCATGACATTTTTACGAGTTAACACATGTAGTGAGGTTCTTAATTCCCGTCCCGTGTGACATCCGTTTGAACTTCAAGTTTTTACGACGGATGTTAATGGAAATATCGCATCGCTGGAAACGAAGGGGGCAAAAGCCTTGACTTAAAAACGGAACGTAGCCGCGACTCGTACTTATACCACAGCGCGGTATCACTTTTGAATCGATACCACTATTGGGGCTACTGAGTACCCGCTCTTGCCTATCCATCGAGTTGAAGGCGCACCTATTTCAGTTTAAGTTCCTGCGATGACTGACCGTTCGGTTCTACTGGTCGGTTGCGCTCGTCATAGATCGTTTTCGATAGTGGTTCGATGTATCGTTTGGTTCAAAACAATAGAACATAAGCTCAAACAAAACTTTCAGGATTTCAGTCGGAAAAGCTGAGAATGAGAAAATGCCTGACTATTTCACCTTGCGATGCTATTTAATACTCATAAGAATAAGAAATCTATCAGAAAAACCACGTTTCCTCAGATTACCAGATTGACTTATGAGGCTATATGTTTACATGTTGGACCAATCGATATCGATACAATTTCACCTATTTGATGTATCGAAAACGATCTATAACATCATGTCTTAATGATGCGCCTTTGAAAGTCTTTTATAACAGACTTTACGACTTTATTCTTTTCGTCGGTCGATAGTTTTTCGAATTAATGTTTGCACTCTGATTTCAGGAAATGGCTACATCACAACGGATGTGCTTCGTGAGATTCTCAAGGAACTCGATGACAAAATCACGACGGAAGATCTGGACATGATGATTCAAGAAATTGACTCTGATGGATCCGGCACAGTTGATTTTGACGGTAAATGTCTTTCAACATCAAACATTTTTATTTTAGGGAATTCTAACTTAGGAGTCATTTGAGCTCACATATTGAGTGCCAGCATTAACTTCCACCCCGACTGTAGTCACGGTAATGACAATTTACTAAAAAAAGCGGATACCATGAATTAGCGATTGATGAGTTGGCTACTTAAAACTAGGTGCTGATAGAATAGTGCTGGTATTCTGAGGTGGAAATAAAATCGAGAAAAATAAAAAAAATTAGAATTTGAGATTGCATAAAAACTCTACTATGCACTATCTTTCAGTTTTGAGCTGAAAAATTTTGCATACCTATCTTTTTTAAAACTCTAAATTTAATTTTTGGTTTTTCTCCTTAAAATAATATGGACACAGTTGGGACGCAATAATACATGGACAGCATTTGGGCCGTAATCGTACACTGGAAAAAAAAACACATTGGATCTAGAGTCATTGACGAGAAAAAATACTCTTGATTCAATCGAATTTTTGCTTGAATCAAAACGAAATCCGCTTAAATTAAGAGGCTTGGTTCTTGATTTAAGCTAGATTCTAATTGAATCAAGAATACTCTTGCTTGTCGATGTTTTTAAGAGTCTGGAATCTAGATCCAATGTGTTTTTTTTCCAGTGTGTGCTTTTACACTTACGGAGTAGTTACGACTCTAGGCACTCGCTACAGTGACACAAGTTCGGGTAAAAGTTACTGTACTATATCAAACGTTCAATATATGATCGATAAAGAAAATCAGGAATAGTTGTATGGTCAATTCTACGCGACTGTTTTTCCCCCGGACATTCTCTAACTTCCCTCATCCAATAGATTATCCGCTCTAACTGAAACCACCTTCGCTCGGAATTAGATTACACAAAGAGGTAAATTCTCTACACTACCAGAATGTCTACCTCCTCTTTCGTACGGCGGCGCTTCTTGACAGACTCCATGCAATCCCGCTCGCACACCGACGGGACGAGATGAAAAAAGACGGAAACAAAAAAGTCCGCGAGGAATGCCGAAGTAGAGTGCGGGGGAGGGTGACGTAAACGGAAGGTAAAGGGGGGGGGAGAGTCGCAGAAAACTTTGGACGGGCTCGAACTTTTTTGAGCCCGGAGGACGCGAGCGCCGCGAGGAGGCGGCGGCCGGGCGGGTGGTCATAAATTAAATCTCATTTTGTGCTCCCTTGTTTTTTTGTTTCGTGTCTTCAAAACGAAAAGAGTGGACTCCGAGTCGGTCGCACTCAGCCCCCCACCCCCACCCGGGATGGACGCTGCACTGCCGTGCTAAGGAAAAACACCGTATGAACCTTCAGGCGTTGCCAAATTGTCTTTGATAAAACATGAATTCCCTGGTAAACTTAATAGTATTTTTCTTCCAATTTTTCAGAGCATTTTGTTCTTGTTTTGATCTAAAGCTCCGGAAAATTTCAAGGATGAATATTTATAATCTTCCTAAAAAATAAACATTTTATCAGAGGAAATTTGGCAACTCTCGAATGTTCATACGGCGTTCTTCCATAGCACGGCAGGCTGCAGTCGTGGGGTCAAACGCAGGTGCCAACATTCCCGTCTTAATGCGCCCGGTGTATACCCGGGAAGGCACGAGTTCCGATTTTTTTCCGGAAAGTTCAGAGGGAATTTCCGGGAATTACGAACAACACAAATAGAGAGCCTCCCGAAAAAAAGGCATGTTTCCTCTTTTCGTGGAACCTACGGGTCATATCTACATGACTGGAATGAAACCTTCATGATGAGTCGATCCTACCCTCGGAGGGTGCTTCGCGCTCTCTGTTGCATGCTTTGCGGGCCCCCTTGGGTTAATCTAAACTGAACTTTTGGGCTTTGTTTTCGCGGCAATGGTGTGGACCTAGCACCAGTTCACCACCTTGTTAATCTAAAAAGAGCAGGCTCATCTAAAGATTATCGCAATCGAGCGGTGCAAAAATCATATGGATGTATTTCTGCCAAACGAAACTATGTGCATTAAGACATGAACCCTGAGACCCATGAGAATATATGCATGACAGGGCTCACGTCATAATGCACATAGTTCCGTTTGACAGAAATACGTCCATATAAAAGTCGGCCCGGAAGATCTTCAGAGTCTTGCCAAAGATCCTTTAAATGAATATAAACTTTTTGAAGAACTGGTAAATACGTCTCTTCTCGATTTTCAGAAAAAATTTATTTGCAATTTCATCGAAGAATCTGAAAATTTTAAGGCGAAATATGTATAATTTTGCTAAAAAATGAATACTTGATCAGAGAGATATTGGGCAACATTTGAACTTTCGTTGGGCGGGTTTCTTCAGCGCAACAGCATAGTGTCCTTCTCGGCCGCAGGAGCATTATAAAAAAACGATTCTTTTTTCTCGGTGTGTTTTAGGATGTTTTTAAAAAAATTATTCATTTGAATTAATTTTCTTTTTTTGGAGGGGGGGAGGACTTTTTAATATTATTACTATTTTTTGAGGTCCAGTAGACAACGCTGTGCTACCACCTCTCAATATTGGATTTAGCTGGAGGTGCAAGGAATTGTCGACCCTCCGAGGTTTCGAACGTGAGAAATTTATGTTTCTCCACGGATTCAGCATGAAACTTCAGCAAGCCATTTTCCCCCTTTTTTGTGGAGAGTTGTACAGGATCGTTTCAGTTGTTCCCCTGAAAGTTTTCTAAGTTCTCAGCGGGCGCGACCAATGATACCGATGGATTCGCTCCAAAAACACGTAACAGCGTTCGCGACGTTGCAAATCCCCTCCGTCCAGATATTTTTTAGAGAAAGAAAAAAATCAGTCTGCTCACCGATGGGCCTAAACAAGGTATGCACTCCAATCTAACATTTTCTCCTCAAACTTTCACGAGGGAACCGGATAATGAGACGAGAAGTTCAGAAATCAACACCTAAAGAAGGTTTAGGTGTTAATAAATAACGTTGATTAAATGACAGAAATACAAACGACGTCATTTGTATATTCTATCTTACATTCGATCTGTGTTAAAAATATTCGTTGCAACAACAGTTGATTTCCGAATATCCCGTTATGAACCACTTTCTATGTGCGACTCCGAGGGGAAAACACGTGACTTTTTTTCTCGTTCAAACCTTGTATATTGGCCAATTGGATTACACTTGGCGATTAAGAACTGCTAATTCTCTCAGGCTCAATTGCGAAACAACGTATGTACCATTAAATTCTCTATGCACATAAATGTTTTCACGGATGAGCCAGAAATTGTAGGTCCTGAATGCAAAATATAGTCCATTCAGATACACTTATTTCCTGTAAATGGCAGCTGATTACTTCGAAGCCCAGTATATGTATACTTCCTTCTTCTTTCAAGGGTAAATTAAAAGGTAACATGAAGAAAGAAGCATAATGGGCAGATGGAGTCAGTTAAACCGAATTAAACAATTGGAAATTCGTTTCGAATTTTATCCCAATTTTTTTACACCGATTTAAATGGGTTTATCTACTTGAAAGCCCAATATTATTTCTTTCTCTTTCCTTCAAGGATAAATTGGACCGCATTTAGCAAAAAGGAACCGGCGCGATTACGATGTTGTAAAAACGTTGCTACTTCATGATTATCTAAAAAAATCTCCCAGAGTAGCAAATAGTTTTGGCTTCCCACTGAAAAATGTTTAACTTTAAAGGAAAATAATTGTGTACATTTTAATATCGTACTTATAACAAGTATTTTTAAGAGAAAAGGAGAGGTTGCACCAATTTGAAAACACCGTAATCGCACAGGAAAAAAAACCACATTGGATCTAGAGTCCGGACTCTTGATAACATTGACAAGAAAAAGAACTCTTGATTCAATCAGATTTAAGCTTAAATCAAAAGAAAATCCACTCAAATTAAGAGGCTTGGTTCTTGATTTAAGCTAGATTCTGATTGAATCAAGAGTATTTTTTCTTGTCGATGTTTTTAAGAGTCTGGACTCTAGATCCAATGTGTTTTTTTTCCAGTGCGCGCTCGTTCCTGTTTGATAAATGCGATCCGATTGAATGTACTCTTGAGACAGAGAGGATATCCGGCTTTCAAATAGCTCGACGAGTTCAGACTGACGTGGAAAAAGGGACGAAATTCTAACTGTTGGCAACGGAGCTTGAAATCTGTACTCAATTCCCGTTTCCATCGTAGGGTCGACTTCTAATCGCAGCCATTAACAGTATTTATGCCGATAATCGTCGTGCGCCGCGTGCCTCGAAAAAAGTTTTGCCGCAGTGGCTTAGTTCACGACTCCACTGCTCCGTCCGAAGACATACGACAAAAAAAAAGCTCGATAAGGTGTACTTTAATATGTATTTATTGTGCGTCTTTCGACAAAAACTTACATCCCTCGACCTGAAATCCTCGTGAAAACAGCAGTGGCGTGGCGTGCTTTGCGATATATCAATTGATCTGTCATTTAATCCTGTGGAAAAAGATCGATAATCAGGGTGTTCGCAACGAACAAGTTAATAGTCGATTTTTTACCATAGCTTCAAATGGAAAAATATCGATAATCCATCATTCACGCCTCGCCACAGGAAAACAGTCCTTATCAAACTCCGACAGACGCGAGTTTAACGCAGGATTTCCGAACGAAACCCGACACTTTTCAAGGGGGTCTCTAACTGATTTGGGAGCAACTGGATCAGTTGCGCTGGTCACAGAATTTTATTTAGATGATTTCAGATTACAGATCAGCAAAAAATGATAAGATCTGTCCAAACACCAAGTTTCCGCATCCAATATTAAAGGAGAACTGCGCCTTTGAAAAACAAAGAGAATGACATCGCTCACCACTTATACCATGGTTCCTTCCACTTCAGGAAATTGAATGCAAATTCTTATCCAAGAAGAACTGCCAGTGCAAATATGAATGTATCACTGATTGGTGATTTAGTTTTTCGAGTATTTCCTGATTATACCTACTGCACTGGAAAAAAAAACACATTGGATCTAAAATCCAGACTTTTGAAAACATTGACAAGAACAAATACTCTTGATTCAATCGGATTTTTGCTTGAATCAAAACGAAATCCGCTTAAATTAAGAGGCTTGTATCTTGATTCAAGCTAGATTCTGATTGAATCAAGAGTCCTTTTTCTTGTTGATGTTTTTAGGAGTCTGCAGGACTCTAGATCCAATGTGTTTTTTTTCCGGTGTGGCTACCTTTTCTTTTGATTTTAAACCGCTAAAAAATTCACAATGCTACTCAATTATTTATCACAAGCTCTGCGAAAAGATCTGTCTGCATGATGTTGAATAATCCGAGTGTGCTTGTTTTCCAGAGTTCATGGAGGTGATGACTGGTGGAGACGACTAGAAAGCAGTTACCGGATAACGTCAATGGTTGGTGCCTAAGATGTCAAGAGGAAGAAGAGGACCACCATAAGAAATGTTCACGCAAAACCCGCCAAGCTGGGGACCAAAAATCTATCCTCCCTACAACTAAAATGTATCACACAGTACATCGAAGTGACAAGCAGGGGAAAATGAAGAGAGATTAAAAAGCCATGCGCAAAACACAATCTATATTTCCCCAACTTAAACAAATAGACGCGCCTGAGCCACGTTTTAGGATTTCAACATGAACCTGTCCAACATTTTAAGGACTGAATTTTGATTTTCCTCTATAGAATTATAAGATCTGAGGTCGGCTGTGTTCAATATTACCTTTAAAGCAAATTACAAATTATTTGTTGGTCGAAGTTGGACTGTAATGACCTGAAATCATAAACTTGTTCCACCAATGGTCAAATCAATCTATTGCACGGCTCAATTCTAGTCTCTTTTTGCAGGAGCCAGACGCAATAGTTTCAAATATGTCTGCTGCTAAATTAGATACGTCCATCAAGGATTAATTCAATTTTGGATAAAGTTATGACAATACTTTGGGTATTTCCTTCCACCACAAAAGTCCCGTAGAAATTACTGACAGCCGCCGGAGATGGTGATCAATTGGACAAGTAAAAGTTGCCGAACATTCAAACTTTACTGCTCCCTGCCCGCAAATATTATTTCCCACAAATTCCCTCATAAATTGCAATGGATGGGAAAATTCAATTGATATCGGTGCGCGATCAAAAGTTATTGTTATTCTAGTCATAATTTTGCCCTTAAGAAGTTCTTCGTCATACTATGCTATATTTATGTTTTACCCTCTCGTTCCTCTGTTGGTGGAGGAAGTACTTTTCCTCTTTTCCGCGATGGAGAGGGATTCATGTTAGTTTGTGGCTTTCGTCTCATATTTTTTCGTCCTTTGTGAATAACTGATATTTCCATTCTAATTTATATTAAAACCATATTTTTATACTCACAGTGCTTTATTTGTTATTCGAGTGAATACGAAGAGGGATGACTTTGTTTTTCCTATTTATCTAATTCGAATGTAATACTATTCGTAAAATTTCCTTTTTTTACCATTCTGAAGTAGAATCCTTGTATGCAAAATTATGACAAGATAAGAGCTTCTTGGCTTTCATTCGAGCATTTTTTTTAAAAAAAAAATTAAATTTCGTCGGAAAGAGGTTTTACTAAAAACTTTCAATTCGTGATTCATCGTTAAAAGATTGCAAAACACGAGGACTTTTGAAATACTTTTACAACTGCTTCCACATATCAAAGGTTTGCAAAGACCGCAGGACATGGAACGCAAGGAAAATGTAATAGATATTTGGGGAATTTCAAGCCCATATAAATTCTTCCGAAAGAAAAACCTGCTTGCCATCTTCTCAAATGAAATGAAAGGTTATTTGACACTAATACTCTTTTTTAGATTCATCGCTATTTATTATTTACGGTCATGGAAAAATCTGAATATTCTCTTCACTGATGTAATCATTTGTTGACGGATACAGCATTTTCGATTAACTTTCAAGTCATCAGGGACAAAACAAATTGATTAAAAAACCGAATTAAACCGGAGGTAGAGCCAAAGTTGACTTGATCTTAACATCAATGTAGTAGCAGATTATCACAATTTTTAACAAAATTTGACCTGGAAGTTGTCTTCCCACCTCTGTTGGATAAAGTAAGGAAACAAACGTTTCGATCGAGGACTGGCGTCGTGTGGTGCGGTATGTCTGAGCCATGGAGTCGCCAAAGTAACAACTAGCGGCATCTGAGGTCCCACGCCGCAAACACAGATCGTGGCGCCGTACCAGCAAGTCAAGCACCGCGATTGCATTTGATCGCTATCTGGCGTCTAAAAGAGAAAACACTCTCCTCGCCGCTCGCAGCGAGTACCCGCGGAATTCAATCTTGATTTCAAATAAAAGTCTATCTTGGTAAAACTCAGTTGGATTCGCGTCATTTATCCTTCTTAGAAGTGGATCATGTCTCTACATCAAAGAAAGGAAGAGAAAAGAAGATAGAAAAAACTTGGCAGTCCGATGTGATAGAAAAATAAAATGTCCTAGGTTTACATGTACATAATAAAGGGATTTTCCATAACTTTTAACAAAAAAATATACGAAATTAAACGACTTTCTGGACTTAACAAAAGTTTCGGAAAAAATAATCGTAAACCAACACACATCGTTCAAGACTCAGAAATAGGATTTTGAGATTCTGACAGAAAACGTGGTTCAGCATCAATAAATAATACATAAATAATAAGTTTCGAGTAGTTGAAGTCCTTCATTTGACAATAGAGAACGTCAAAGTAATTTGAAATTATGTGTAATTAACATGACAAATTATCGGCGATTCTCGAGAATGAGCAACATATTCTCCATTAACTTCCATCATGAATAATGAATTACAATGGTAAAAATTGGCAGTAGAATCTGTGTTCCAAAATACCATAGACCTACAGCCGGCTGTAAGATTTCCAATAGCTTCTACAGCCGGCAACGCAATTTCTTATAGCCGATGGCGATTAAGCAACAGCCTGGCGATATAGTGTATGCTAAAAGTTACTAATTACGGATGCTTGGACTAGTGAGTTTTTGGACTACCGCTCTCTTTTTGGGATTTATTTTGAGAGGAAAGCTCCGTACTTTTGAAGGATGCCTGCCATTCCTAATATGTTGGAGCGCCTTCAATTTCGTAGGATACTGTGTAATACCTCTGATGTGAAATAGTTGCTTCAAGCGTCGTGGTACGCTGCGGCGCGGCGCGGCGGGCGGGCAGCCAGCGCGAAACGCGCATTGGCGCCTACAAACCTAACAGGGAAACTTCACCCATTGCGCAATGCGTGAAGTATCCCTGTTGGGTTTGTAGGCGCCAGTGCGCCGCTGCTCCGCTTTGTGTAAGGCTCTAATATTTAATCTCGTAGAGTCAGCGTTTTTCAACTCATGACTTTGAAATGTTTGCACACTCTGTATGGATTATCCTCATTTTAATTGATGAAAAAAAATATGTAGTAAAGGAAAATATTATTTGCGTTTTGTAAATTTTAAGGTGATTCCGTACAAACTTAAGGATTTACAAAGCACACGAATTTCTGCACAATTTCTTATAGCCGATGGCGAAAAAGCAACAGCCAGACGATAAAGTGTAAAGCCCGGCGATAGGAACTATAGCCCGGCTGTATAATTTTTTATCGCTTCGTGTAGCCCGGCCGTATGATTTTTTCCACTTTCTACAGCCAGCTATATGATTTTCTATCGCTTTCTTCAGTCGGCTATAAGAACTCCTATGGTATTTTGAAACGCAGCTCCTATCGCCAATTTTTACCAGGATATACAGGGTGTTGTAAACGTCTGTTTCCCCGCTGCCAAGTTTTTTACGGATGTACTTAAAAATTATATACACTTAAGCTGCTTCTATGTCAAGGGAAACTACGTTTGGGGCCCCCAAAAATTTGGCGGGAATCACCCTGAAGGGAGCATGTACCCTAATTTACATTCTCAAATGGAAGGTGCCTTATCAGAGAAGGACTAAAAATACAAAAGATTAGTCCAAATAAAAATCTGTAAATATTGACATTTTTGTCCTAAAAAATGCGTAAAAGACTTATTTAAGCTTGTGGGGATCCATGACGCAATCTTGAACTGTTGTTGAGTAAGGATCTTTTTCCCATGGTCAGTCAAATACGCACTTCAGTCATTTGCGATTTCTTTTCCAAAAAGACAACTGGATCGTTTAATTCGGAAACATTCCAACTCAAAAGAGAAAAAATTGAATAAACACGAAAATGCAAAAAACAAATTGAAGCAAACTTCCTTTTACGACGCTCTGATAACTTTTCGGTGCATTTTGCTGATGAAAGCTATCTCAGGAAGGCTAATAGGCAGCAGTAGGGGCACCAATAAGTTTTCATTCTTATAGATCTTACAAAAATAAATTATTGAACACTCCAGAGATGGGTTATTCTCGAAATGAAAGACCTTTGTCAATGTTAACTTCATGGCAGGTCAAAAGATTTCCTTTGGAAAACCTTATAAAACTATTTTTCTGCAACTAAAGAAATTTTTCACAAATTTCAGAACCGTTCCGAATCGATCGATTTAATCTTCCCGCCGGGTCGATTATTAAGTCGTTATCGAATGAACCTGATGGCTAAATCCCTATCGCAGATGCAAATTTTTAAAAGTAGCCCGAAACAATGAAAAAACAAGGAGGAAAAACGGGAACACTGGGAAAAAAACACATTGGATCTAGAGTCCAGACTCTTGAAAACATCGACAAGAAAAAATACTCTTGATTCAATCAGATTTAAGCTTAAATCAAGAACCAAGCCTCTTAATTTGAGCGGATTTCCTTTCGATTTAAGCTTAGGTCTGATTGAATCAAGAGCCCTTTTTCTTGTCAATGTTTTCAAGAGTCTGGACTCGAGATCCAATTCGTTTTTTTCCCCAGTGAAACAAGGCTAAAAATACACAATTAATAAAACCCGAGACGTTTTGATTCAAAACCGTGTCACTTTCGGTCGGAAACAATAAACATTTTAAAAAAAGAAGATGAAAAACCTGAGCCTTACATGGTGGTGGCCGGAATCTGAGAAAAGGAGAAAATTGATAACGAACAAGGCACATCGATGCTAGCACCGTTGACCGAAAATGATCGACACGCTAGTTCGCGATCCACTCACAGATGGCAGCACTTATTATTAAAATCCCTATCTTGGCAGGAGGCTTTTCACCGATCACGGTCATTCGATATTCATTTAATCTGCCCAGTCGTGGGAGTCTATTTTCCAGAACGAACCCGCTCGGTTACCGCATTAAAAGGAGCTGGATATCCAGGTTCAGGTTCAAAATGCATTCAGAATGCAAATGCGCAGAATTTGTTGATTCACCCTCGAATCGGATTTGCCGATCATCGAGAGAGAGGGGGATGAGGGAAGTGGCGGTGGTTTTTTAACGCGAAAACCTCGACCGTAAGCTCTCCCGCTTTTATCTCCTCGCGTCTCCTCCCCATCCCTTGTCCGTCCGCTGAAAAGAACTGTGTTGCGAGGTGAAAATCACCTTGGCGGCTCTGTCCGGAGGAAAATGCGCTGACCTCTGACGATAAGCGAACGGATAAAGGATACCGTCCTAAGGAGGAACACCGTGCGAACATTTTATTGCCAATTTTACTCAAATAAATTATTATTTTCTTTCTTGAACTCAAGTGACTTTTTTGTGTGACATTTTTATACACTTACTTTGGATTGAATTAGATACAGACAGGCAACAGCGTCATTTTACATGAAAATTGAGAAAAGAGTATCATAATCCCAACTAAAATCCTGGCTGATTTTGGCACCAGATATAACAGTAGTTGCACTGGCCTGAGGTATAATTGCTCCAACCACACTTTCGACCGACTCAAACATACCTCCGACTGATGCAACTACTCTTATATTTGACGCCAAAATCAGTCAGGAGTATAGTTGGGATTGTGATACTTTTTTTCCGTGAGGAGTTTTGAAAAACTACCTATTTGCAACAGTTTAGGACTCCTAATTTACGTCACAGGGATGGAAAAAAATTAGGATGAAATAAAAGAAGAAGATGAAGAAGAGGAGTAAGAAGAAGAGAAAGGAGAGGAGAAGGATGAATAAGAAGGGAAGGATGAAAAAGGGAACAAGTGGAAGAGATAGAAGACAAAAGAGAAGGAGGAAGGAGAAGCAAGAGAAGAAGTAGAACAAGAAGAGAAAGAAGAAAGAGACGAAGAAAGCAACCAAGACAAACAAGAGGAAAAAGAAAAAGATGAAAAAAAATGAAGATGATGAAGAAAATGAAGGGAACAAATGAATAAAAAAAGGAAGAGAACGAAGAAAAAAGATTATTCACCTCCTTAGTCTTCTCCCTTCTTTTTCCTTCTTCTTCTCTCCATCTCTTTCATCTTCTTCTTTTTTTTCCTTCGTCAATTTCATCTTCTATTTTTTC